TCAAAAAAGTACTCCAGAGTGTTGTTCAGCATGGGGGTGAGTAGAAAATGAAGGCTAATCATGTTTTGGGTGTACTATTCCTTTAAGAATCTTTTTTGATAAAAAGAACAAAGCAAAAAATGGTTGGTTTAATGAAGAAATATGCATTTAATTACAAATCTGCTAAAAATCAGCTAAAATTTGTTTTTTTGGAAGTAATTTGCTTACTAGATCCATTCACTCTAACTTGCTTGTTTGATCGTCTCTCTTAGGACTTCCTAAGGCAGGGTGAAACTGTGTCAAGTCGATGCGATGAGGTGCAGGGCCTGATAAAAAGGGGCTGCAACATGACCTTTATCGAGAACCCCCTCGGACAGCAGGACATTGTCCAGAACAAGTCAGTGACCAATCGCAGCAAAGGACTGGTAGCATTAAAACCGGAGGAAATCACACAGGTCCAGCCCCAGAAAGTCAACCTCACCCTCCGATCTGGTGCGTTAGCATCTTAACAATCACTCCTTCACTCCTGCTCAAAGTTTATATGACATTTTGGTGATATGACAATTATTGTTTGTTATATTTAGGTGAGCCCCAGTCTTTTGAGCTGAAGTTTAAAAGAGCAGAAGATTATCCCATCGACCTGTACTACCTGATGGACTTGTCCTATTCTATGAAGGATGATCTGGAGAATGTAAAGAACCTGGGGACCAGCCTGATGGAAGAGATGCAAAAGATCACCTCTGACTTCAGGATAGGTTAGGAACTCCAATGGTTTTTGTATCTATTGCTGCTGCTCGCTGCAGAAAGAATGTGGGGATGGATTCAGTTGCTTTTCTTTGTTTAACATTCATCATTTCACACACAGTGGCAGAGCAGCCATATTAGGTATTTATCTCCCACAGAGAGCTACTTAAAGACTCCTACAAACCAAACACCGCTCCCTTCCAAAACGTTGTCTGTAACCTTTGAAGCAACTTAAACCTGTTCTGAGTTTAATAAGATCTGGAGAGAGTTTCCATCTTCACTCATAGTTCATCTTTTAAAGATTTGAACTTCTTACAATCATTCAAAATGTACAGAAAACAAAAGAAACATTTAAAAAACGTGTTTTTTTTAAAACATCTTAATCTCAAAAGTAGGGAAAAGAGTTAGATAATCAGTTATTACTAAAGCTGTGTTCACATGTCAAGGTCTACTGTATTTTCCACACCATAAGATGCGCTGGATTATATTATGCATCATCAATGAATAGACTGTTTTCAAATTCCAAAAAAAAAGAAAATAAAAAACAATTCACTGGACTTTTCAAAGTTTTAAGAGGTTCTGCTTCCCATCCAGGAAGCTTTCTCGATTAAAAATGTCAGGAATAGTGTCGAGTTTGAGGTTTTATACAGTAGCCCAACAAAGCCTGTTTTCA